AAGAATCCACTTCGAGGCTTATTCAGGGTGTTGGGAGAATTCAATTCCGTGTGGTTGTAGGACTGGGGTTTCCTTTGCCTTGCTGGCTCGTATTTGGGGTCATTCTAAGCTTGGAGCAGCTCAGGATTTCCCTGGCTCACAGTCCTTCTGCAAGTCTTTCTCATGCTCTGAATCTCTTTGAAGTGCCCCTGCCTCCTCTTCCTACCTCCCCCCGCCGACACACACATATTCACCATCACATACAGACACAGACCATCCACCTGTTCTTTTTTCTTTTCAGCTTGAGCCTCTACTAAAGCTTCTGCAGCTGGAGGGTCCCTTTTCTGCTTTACCATCTCAGTCGTTTATTATGAAGCAAACACCCATGTAATTGCCTCCCAGGTCAAGAGCCTGCCAGGGCCCCTGAGGTCCGACCCCTCCCCTCTCTACCTCGCCCTTAATGATAATCACAGTCTTGTTTTACTTTATAGTTTTTCCATCTGAGCGCATACTCTTAAACTCCAGGGTTCCATTTTTTCTCGTTTTGATAAGTATATAAATAGGAACATATAGAATGTATTCTCTAGTGTCTGACTTCTTTGAACCAACCTCAACGAGTGTGAGTTTCACCCACCTAGTCGTGGCTATGAAGCGTTCATTCCTTTCTGGAGCTGAGAATTATTCATTGTGTGAATGTTCCACAATTTACCCATTCTCCATGTTGGAGTTGTTAGCAATTTTGACCTACTGATACACAGGAATTATCTTTCTTTTTTTTTCTAATTTTCTTGCAATGTAATTAAAGTATACTCACCTGCATATATTAAAGTGTATAACTTTATCAGTTTTGATCCATGTAGACACCTGTGAAACCTGCGAAACCATCACAGCAGTCAAAAAACAAGCATAGGCATCTGCATTCTTTTGGAAGGATGGATAGATGAATAGATGCACGGGTGCATGGATGGGGAGGATGGATGCATGGATTGGGTGAGTGGATAGAAGGACAGATGGATGGATGGATGGATGGATGGATGGATGGATGGATGGATGGATGGATGGATGACTAGAAAGACCCTCAATAGTGTAGTTTTTTCTCACCATTTTGGATGCACTTCCTTGTATGCCTTCAAAAATAATGCTAGACTATTCATGCATTAGCTCACTCAAAGGGCCAGTTCTGGTGCCTGGGCAGTGTGGCAAGCCAGAAGCTTGATTAGCTGTTGAGAAATGACTGGCATGCCTTGCATTGTGTCTTGACAGATGAAGGAGGACTGGCTCTTAACCCTCTCCTTGTTACTTATGAGACACACTCCTGACTACACAGCCACCACCATTTGAGTCATAGTTCAGAGTATGACAAAAAAGAGATCAGTAGTTTCTCAAGGAGTTTATCAGACCTCATTTGAGCTGCCCATGACCTTTTATTCAAGTTCTCAGGCTGCAAGAGGAGCCCACGTTTACCCAGGCTTCTGTTGCAAGAAATTAATGATTTGATACCACGTTTTAAACCATCTTTTGCTCTCCTTCACATTACTTCTTATAACTCTTCCACCCCAACACCACCCCTTATAGAGGTCCCCTCCTTTTAAGATGCTCCAAAGTCATTAGCAACTTCCATCTTTGACTTCTATGGCTGATGAGTATCCACAGGCCTTCCAAATGTTGTACTTAAAACCCACTCAGCCTTCTCTCTCCCTTGCCCGACCCATCACCTGAATCCCAAAACAACCTAAATGACTCTGGCTTCCCTTTTGGCCTCACCTGCATGTTGTCTACTGTCATTGGGTGTCCCAGTACCTGACCCTTGTCACACACACTGCCCTCCTACCTCATATCACAGGATTGGAAACACTGATCCCACCTTTCTGGAATTTTATTTCCCAGCTGGACACTCCATGATTGGAGACTCCTACTTCTTTTTTTCCCTTAGTACTGGTGGTTCACACCAGCCTGCCTCACCACACAACCCAGACAGGACAAAGTCTATACTAACAAACTATATAGTTGGTTTATTTGCTAGTATATTTGAGGAGGGGGAGAAGTGTTCCTTTCTTTTCTTTCATTGTTTTCAAGCACATTTTTTAAAGTACAAAAACTGAGTAATGGTCACACATAAATCAAATGAAAAATCACCATGACCAACAAGTTGGTATACTTCCTGGCAGTCTTTATCAATATTAGATTTTTCATTATTGACCCACGCTTCCCTGAGCATACCAATCTGTGCATGAATTTAGGGGGGTGACATGTATCCATATTCTGCCCATGTGAGCCATGACTGGACTTCATACCTTTAGAAATTACTCTCCAACGATGACTTCAACTCGTTTACCTACCAGTCAGGTGCTTAGTGGTAGGCGCTAATCCCACGGCACTGCTCCCAAGACCTGCAGGGTGTGGCCATCTCTGGCAGGGCTACAAAGCTGGGTTGTATCCCCTGGAACCCTGAGGATCCCAAAGCATGAGGGCTCCATCTTGAAATGAACAGAAACACGCCTCTCTGAGGTCTCAGAGTGTGCAGTTACCCGACAAACATGTCCCAGGGCCTTTGCTAAAGCATCTCATTCAGCGTTTACTCACAGACATCCTATCCCCAATGGGTCTTGAACAAGAGTTCATGGAAGGCCTAAACTTGCTGGTGCCACAGTTTCCAACATGATGTTAAGGCTTTGGTGGCAGTGTGGCTGTAATTAGGTATGCAACATATTTTAGTCCTAAATGTAATAAGATTACTTTTTTCTTTCTCAAGATGATAACATTTAGGATACAGCCCTAACTGAAGAGGAGCAGAGACTAATATAGTTACTGAGACATAATTTCTCTACCCTCATCCCAGTTTTGTAAAATAGTAAACCAAATCTAATTTAAATAATTTCACCTATATTTGCATAAACTCTCAGGGCAGAATAACCAAGCAGAATGTTGCTGGCTTTGTTGAAAATGCCACAGGGCTTGGAGTGAGCTTTCTAATACCCAATCCATGAGGCTTCATCAAAGTCACAGTCTTACCGGACTTTACCTAGATTTCCTCTTCTCGAGGTTTCCAGGGTTTTTCCAGTCCTGCCAATGGATGCAAGCTGCCTCACCTTTCATGGAGGTCTGTTCTTCCATGGTCTGTGGAACACAAACCACTCTCTCTCTCACATACACGCACACTGAAGGTTATAACCATCTCTCCCTTTCTGGAAGTTCCATGGTTCCTGATCTGTAAAGGAAAGGGAAATAGACGGCAAAAATGGACAAACAAGAGACAAAAAACAGAGACAAGTGGCCACACAAAAACAACTGGTCAGCCGACGGATCAGTTGAACCAAAGAAGGCACAGGGGTTCTTCTACCACAGAAGGCAATGATGTCTCATTACTGTCCCTGGACTCTGGAAGTAATGCTGCGTGCAGCCTTCCCTTGAGTCCCCAATACCAGAGAGCGCTCAAACACAAACTCACCTCCGGAGGACCCCAAGACTCAAGAGACTCAGATCTGCAGAACAAAAGGCAAAAGGCACAGTTCTGGTCTCACATTCCCTCAGAGGGGTGTCTAAAGCCACTCTGAGGGAAAGCTGCCTCGGCATGTGCTAGGAAGCAATCTCGCTGGGGCCTACAAAAATGTTGTAGTGTCTCCTCCTAGACACAGCCCCGTGTCTAAATCAAATTTAGAAAAAGCCTTTATTAGCCAGAGGGTGACTGTCCCTCTTGTGGGAGCAGTCCCGAGCAGGGTGGGGTGATAAGGGTTTTTAAAGCCAAAAACCGCACCTTGGAGTTTGCAGTTGCCACAGCAAGCAGGGGTACAGAAGCCAAACTGTGCTGTTACAAGCAGTGGAACGTTTCATACAGCCCATGTTTCAGGAATAAACGGTACATGCATCTCATTTTTGATGGAACAAGGTCTCTATTTTTTTTGGCCTGGAAATTTCCCACAGCCCTATCTTGTCCTCATGAGCTACCTCAAGCTTAGGCCTTGCGTGGTCTGCTACATTTCTCATTGCCCCCATTTCACAGGGCAAGAAGCAGAGCTACTCTACTGGCTAGAGAAGAGTGGAGAGGATGATAGCTCCCAGGGTAGAATCCTGTGCTAGTCCTGCCACAGAGTCAGATATTCAGACTCAGGAAATCAAGGGGCAGGAGGGAGTCGCGTTACTTGTCACCATCCTAACGCAGCAAATTCTGCTCCCTTGAGTGGCAGGAGACAGCAAGGGCTAGCCCAGTGTAGACCTAATCCAGATCTCCCCTTTCCTAGCTGTGGGTCTGGACCAAGTTATTTACTGTCTCTCTGTGTCTCAATTTCCTTATCTGGAAACTTGCCAGGGCTTTCCAGTCTCCATGAAGGCTAAATGAGACAATATCACAGAGTAGTTAGAACTGAGCCTGGCATATAGACAATGAAAAACAAAAGTTAATTTTTATTACCAAAAATGTTATTAATATTATTTTCATTAACTGCTTCATTATAGTTTCTTGTCCCTCATAACTCCAACTTGCTGACAACTCATATGGCAGCCCTGAGACTAACTCTCAGCAGCCTTCACCCTCCAGTCTGTCAGCTCCAATCCCTGAGGGAGGCCTCTGATGGGCCCAGTAATTGCTGTGCCCCAGGCCATCATAGGATGGAGGCTTCCCTGATCCTATCAGATTTAGTCTGTGGTGGTGGAGGACAAAGTCCATCAAGGAAGTCAGCTCAATGCAAGGGTTTCTATCCCAAGCAGACAGCAGGAACTAGACCAGTAAAGTTTGTTTGTTTGTTTGTTTGTTTGTTTGTTTGTTTTTCCCATGTCGATATACAGGTTTAATGATGATACATTGCTCTTCACATAGATGGCTACAGAGACTTTAAACTATCATCCAGGAATTTACAACCACGCAACAGAGATCAGTTAGCCATCTAAAACAAACTGGCGTCTTACAACTACCCTGTAAACACAGAAGCCCTTCTCTCATCCAGAATAACTCTTATCTCACATAAGGACAGTTATTTTAGGGGAACCAAAGATCTAGCCTTGTGGCCAAAAGGAAAAACAGCAATTCAGTGGTTAATTGGTGAAAGCTGGAAATCGGGTGTCCATCTCTGTGCTGCTTTGCTCTTCTTACTCTTGCTCTTTTTGTCCCTCTTCTTCAGACCGTCCATGTTAGCTCTCAATAGGTTTGAACAAGCCATCTGAAACTTACTCACTTCTTTGGAGCTCACCACAGTGCTGATCTTCTTTTTCCCATCAGTAGCTAACAGACACATGTTGTCAGAGGGCTCAAACCCCTCCACTGAGCCCTTCCTTGGAATAGGTTTAGTTCGACCATCATACTTCTTCAGGGTGATGAAGACGCTGCCCGACACCCGGCACTTCTGGAAAAGCCTGGTCAGCTCCGACAGGAACTGCTCGCTTTCCAGCAGCACCATCCCCGCGCTGCCGGCTCTGCTCCGTCAGCTTAAGCCCCTGCAGGGGGAGCTGGAAATTCCGTCCCTAGACCAGTAAAGTTTTAACATACATATAAAACATTTTCCAAAGACATGTACCTGCTATTTCGAATAAACTATAAATCATGTAAAGGTGTCATCGAACATGATAACTAGCTAAATTATTAATATTATTTAACATGATTATTTACCTTATAAGATATAATATTAACATAATCTGAATATTTTGTTTAATATTTTTTAAAATTGTATTACTTTGTTAAAATATTGAATATTTAAAATACACCTAAAATATAAATATTAAATAATCTATAAATATAAAATATTGTGATATAATAGAAATATAAAATATTTAAAATAATATTAAGATATTTATACATTTAATATGAAATATTAAAATGTTTAATAGTTATTGTAATAAATATTAATTAGTTTTGTTCTAGAATTTTCTCAATTAACATAATGAAAGGTATTAAATTTACCATGTGGATCTCCATAAAATCTTTTGATTGTAAAAAATCTCGTCATAATCAAAAAATTGGGGTTACATTGGACTCCTTTGGGTCCATCTTCAAAGCAGCTGATTGAGCCTTCAGTCTCTGGACCAGCCCATACTCCCCTCTAGCCCTTCACCTGGGGTCCCACTGGCCTGGGGTCCATGTGTAAAATGGAAAGAGTATTTATCCCAACTGACATTCACAAACCAAACACACTCTGACAATACCTCCAACGTTCTTAGCAGCACACCTCACCTGTCTTTCCCATTTAACACAGAATTTCATAGAGTGACGTTATTTTAGCATTAAACTTGTAAAGATTTTTTTAAATAATCACCCACAAATTCTGGGACTTTAGCTCTGACTAGTAATCCATGCAGCACCCATGGCTTACACTGTGCCGTAGACCACCAGGTTGAGAGCATTGCTGAGGACAAGGCCCATCTCCGCTGACCCAGGAGGCATTCTGGAAGTCTGTTAAGTAACTTCAAGGTTCTCAGCCTGGTATATGGAAAAGCACATCCTAGGGGTGAACAAGCCATTGAACCTGCAGTCTGCAGTCCTGACTCCCACCTGAGATGTCATCCCTTTGGAAACACCACAAGAACAGCAGCTTCTGGCATTGCAAACTGAGCTGGACGTTTAACACTGCCACATCACCTCTCTTCCTCCTTCCTAACATCACTCTAATTTTCTTTGGGGAATTGTCTGTCATCTACTGTGTACAATCTTGGTGCACAGTGATCCATCCAGGAATCCATCCTCCCACTTGATAAGTCAAAATGATCCACCAAGTCTCCTCCGCCTGGCTTCTCACCCACTAACTTAGAACAACCAAAGGCTGGTCTCCTGCATCTGATTCAAGCTTAACCAGTTGGACTCACTTTCCTGGGTAACTGGCTTTGGAGCAAGAAGCACAAGGACAGGGAGATGGTGGAAATTTTCACCCAATGACGGCATCTGGTCCAAACTCTGGAACTGTCACCGCTGCCAAGACCCTCTAAGGGGCCTGGCTCCTGTCTGTTCAAGCTCAGTTCTAGGCCATTCCTCCCACCTTTGGCATCCATGGCTGGCCCTCACTTCCCTTTTCTTAATCAGCTCCTGAGTCAGTGTCTGTTATTTGGTGCTGATGAATCTTGCTGATACAGAACTTATCCTAAGGGAGGATTTTCCCATTCCCTGCCCTAGAGGAGTCCAGTGTGGGATTCAAAGGCCAAAAGTTGAGAACATTGCCCAAGGACAGAGCCCATCTCCTGCGACCCAGGCGGCATTCTGGAAGTCTGTTAAGTAAACTCCAAGGATCTACCTCTGGAAAATAAATGTCCCAAGATTCTTAACCAAAAAAAAAGAGAAGTTTATATAATGTGCTAGCCCTAACCATTGCCGGCTGGTAACCTCTGATCAGAACGTGCAAAACCTGAGTTCACATGACAAAGTAAGGCCACCTGTTATGAAAAGAGAAGGGAGGGGTAGAATTTCAAGTGTTTGTTCAACTTACAAGAAAAGCCCAGTGATACCTACCTGCTATTGCATCATTCCTCAGATTTATGCTAGGAACATTGCAGAGTCACGTTCACACCATCACAGGATGGAGCAAATGGTCAGCACAGTCAGTTTCTTGTTTTACTGCTCCTGCCCATTTTCCCTTGTGCGCAAAGAACTTCAGTGTTACTGATCCTCAATGACATGTTCCCAGGTAATTTACTGTGATGGACATTTACCCCAAGTTACAAGGGAACCGGCGCCTCCATCCCTTGGAGAAGGGCAGCATTGTGTGGGGAGGTACATAGCCCAGGCTGCCTGGGCATCCAAGTCTATGGGGCTTTAGATATAGTTGATATCTCTATCCCTCAGTCTCCACATTTGTAAAAGAAATTTCAGAGTCAACATGTAGGAGGAAATTATAATCAGAAACACAGTTACCCCACATCGATGTCCCCCCAGCCTATCTGCTGGTGAGGTGAAGTCCAGGGTGCATTGAGTTAAGAAGGGCTGTCTTCTGCTCAGTCCCCACTAGAGGAACTACTGTTCTACAATGAGCAAGACATGACTGAAAATTCTGCATGCACAATTTCCTCTAATCTCAACTCATGGGTGGGGAACTACCACCAGAAGAGTCAAGACAAGAAGACCTGAGGGGCCGACTGCAAGTCCCTCGTTGACTATCTGACTGGCACTGAGCAGTCAGCTCCTAAAGGTGGCGCATCCCTCAAAGGTCCGCCTGTCATCATCCCCATCTCCAGCACCAGAGTGTGCACAGAGATTTTCTCTAGGAAGGAGGCCATCAACAGGGAGCTCCAAATCCTCATTCCAGGAATGAAGTCATTGGCAAAAGAGTGTGAAAAGGCTCAAACCTGAAAGTGCTCTCAAAACAGTAGATGTGGTGGTGAAAGATATTTGGAAAGAGATTGATAGTTTTCAATGATGTAAAAATTAGAACATTTTAAAAATTACAAAAAATAAAACTAAAAAAGAGATTGATAGTTTTGTTGGCTCTATCAGCTAAGCTTCAGGTTAGTTAATTTGCTAGAGAGAAATGGGGAAAGCACTGTGGAGGGGGTTCCATGTGCCTGAACAAGTCAACACTGACCTTAAGTCTATTCCCTGCCGAGGGGCCTGAATTTTATTGGTTCCCACCCTTGAGCAATGCATGCCCTGCAACGTTGTTGAAAACAATAAAAATCAACCAGAAATGTGTGAGCTTAACAAATGGGTGTTGTTAGCAGAATAGACTATCAAAGAGGGACTTACCAAAAGCAGTGTCATCACAAGGTGATAAAGGTGTTGTATCCTTTAAGATGCAACATCAGCAACTTCACACTGTGGGAGGTGGAGGGACTAAAATAATCCAACCACTAAACAAGTACAGGAGCAAACAATGGTTGCAAGTTTGGGAGTGACCAGTAGCTAGATTTGCTAAAATATATTATCTAAAATGCCCAGTTTCCAATAAAAACTACAATACATACAAAGAACTAAGAAAGAATAACCCACAAACAGGAGGAAAGGGAAAAAAAAACCCCAGGAAATAGAAACTTCCTGTTAAGGAACCAGATATCAGATTTAACAAAGACATTAAAGTTGCAGCTATAAATATGTTTGATTGACAATCTTTTCCGAAATTGTCATGTCCATTCTTAACCAATAATCAAGGCAGGGTGATATTTCAACCTCAGAGGTACACACTGACTGGACTTATGCTAATGAATGTATCCCACACTGCTGTGCGTAGTGATTGTTTCAAGAGATCACCCGACCTACACAGGCCAAGAAGAGTCGAGGAGATGTCTTTTGGGTCATCTGGGAAAAAAGATCCCTTTCTCTTCCAAGCAATCTACTAGAGGAGAGACTAACAAAGAAATCTGTCCCTTCTGATACTATACTGTGAAGATGTAAAATTTGGCCTGTGCAGTCATCTCAGCTGCCAAGAAGGAAGCCAGCCTGAGGTCAGTTTCCCTAGGCAGAGATGGGAAGAACTGAGAGAAGCTGAGAGCAGGACCAGAGTTCTGGTGACACTGTACATTTCTGGACCATTTGAGTTAATAAATTACCTTTTTTATTTAAGTCAGAATAAGCTTGCATCCCCAAAAAAAGCCTGGATAATATGTTCCCCAAAAGACCAAAAGAAGGTTGTCTACCTTGGGTAGGCCAAGATGGGCTTCTATTGCTCATAACAAAGATAACTCTAATCTGCTGGCCTCCCTAGTTGGTCTGGGAGCTTCTGGGGACATATCCCATTGTACCCCAGCCTCTTAGATTAAAGTGTGGGTTCGGCGAGTGCTCAATTACATATCTCATGACTTAGGTAGTCCTCCCTTATCCATGGGGGATAGCTTTCAAGACCCCAGTGGTGTCTAAAACTGAGGATTATACTCAGCTTGACATAATTTGTTTTGTTTTTTTCCTATGCACGCAGACCTATGATAAAGCTCAGTTTCCAAAATGGGCACATTAAGACATTAACAACAATAAAACAAAATGTCATAATAAAAAGTACGTGAGTGTGGGCCCTCTCTCAAAACAACTACTGTATATATTCTCTACCCTCATTGACCACCAGTAACTAAAAGCAAATCCTTGGAAAGCGGAACCTCCCATGGGGGTGTGGGAGTGGGGGTGACTGTAATGTGTGAAAGCTGCTGAGTCTGTGTTGCTCATCACTAGGTCCAAGGAGCTAGAAAGTGTGTGGACACCCAACGGATATTTGTTGAATGAAGGCAAGTCACCTGAGTGTGGCTCTGAGCACCTCCCCTCAACTCTGCCAAAGGAAAAGACACTGTGACTAAGCCTGCATGACATTTTATTCTCCTGAGAGGGCAAGGTCAGTAGTGGGAGTTAGGTGAGAGGAACTGGAGGGTAGAATCTGGCTTTAGGAAGGAAGGAGCTGGCAGAGGTTGCTGGAATTTCCATGGTCTTCCCCAAGGTGGAGGCTCACATGGGACCTGGATTGGAGAGAAGAGACCGTTGTAGGCATGTTCAGAGGGTGTTCAGGGGAAACAAGGGGTCAGAGTTATCAGTCCCTGCTCAGCGTACCCAGAGTCACATCCTAGCAATCAGTCAGGAGCCAGTGAGGTCATGGGGCTCTGAAGGCAAAAGCCACAGTTTCCAATAAAGGAAAAGTCAGGGTCTTCACACTACTTGGGGGCCTCAGGTCTGCCAGCTTCAAGTCCCAAAGCACAAGTGAGTGCTCAGTGGGCTGCCAGAGCCAATCATGAGCCCCTTCTTAGCCCCTTCTCCTGCAGTGTGGCCTGTTTCCCCAGGCAAGGCTGGGTGGCCCTGAAGGAATAGACCCAGAGAGCCCTCTCTGCCCATCAGGATAGCCAAACCCAGCTCGCTGGCCTCTGAGATCACAGGAAAGAATGTGGCCCTGGCTCCTGTCCCCAGAGACCCCAGCTGGGCTGGAGGAATCGAGTCTGATTTGGGCTCTGATGTCTTCTGAATATCACGATCTGAAAACAATTTCTTTGGTGACAAGCCTGTTTGATATCATCTCATTCAATCCTGATTCCAAACTCAGAAATGGTACAATTGCCCCCTTCAAAGATAAGGAAACAGACATTCAGAAAGGTTAAGCGACTTGTCCAAGGTCACACAGTTCAGGCAAAGTGAAGATCAGATTTTACTCCAGGATTGCTTGTCTCTGAAGTCCCAACTTTTAATGAGTATTTCTCAAGTATTTCTAGCTCAAGCTCACCTACCCAACCATTCCTCACCCTCTGTGCTGGGAATAGGAGGAGTGATGCACCATCACCAGGAAGTTTGGAGGGACACATATGACCTGATTGTGACAGGTGTATTTTTAAACCAGGTGCACATGCTGGGGGAGGCTGGTGCCCTCAGGAAGGAGTCGCTGCTGTCACCTCCGCACTTACCTGCACGAGATCTGCACATTTTTAGGTCCACACAGATGTCACGGGCATCTTTGCCTTCTATGAGGTCCTCCGAGATGATACGGAGAGAACTTTTCATGATGTAACTGCAGGGAATTCTCAATAGTCCCATCTTGCCGCACACATGGGTTGCAGCCTGCGCGATGGTGTACTGCAACAGCAATGCCAGGGCAGACATGGGAATCCAGCCAGCCCCGTCCAGCTCTGCCACCCTTTGTTTCTGGGCAGCTCTGGCCACAGAGTGCTGGGTGGCCCACTGGCCATGGAAGCAGAGACAAGATCAGGCCCCGTGCCTGCTCCCCAAAACCCCAGTCTGACCAGCAGGGGCTCTTGAGAGATGGACAGTTGGCCCAACCAGGGTCTCAGCCCCCTGCACACCTGTCCCTATCGTTCAGGTAGAGAATGAGGCCCATGGCTGCCAGACGCGCATTAAAGCTCTGCCTACATAGCTTCCTGGGTCCAGGACAGAATGGGGGGTCCACCAAGAGGGGTTCCACCTGGAGTTTCAGCTAGCAGGGCTCCACCTGAGAGGCAGGTGAGGAGGGTCAGAGCTCTGACCTTGACTGATTTGATTTTGAGGTGTCTTCTACTGCCATCTCAGTGGACAATATATCTGAGTTTTCTCAGTTGAGGGAGAGCCCTGCAGTGCCAGGTTAGGGGAGCAAAGAAGAGAGAGCGAGGTTGGAACAATGGTCCTTGGTAGTAACATGCCAGTGGTTAAATATGCTCTCAGTGTCAGAAGTGGAGCTAAGGACGTTTCACTCTTGGACTTATTTAAAGGGTTTAGAGCGTTTACCAGCCAGTGATTTCTAGCATCCCATGCCGCAGATAGGAAAATTGAGACTAAGCACCAGCACGAGCACGCAGCCAGGAGAGGCAGATCTGGGATTTATCAGTACTGCCCAGAACCCTCTGGAATAGCCTCTCGGAGCTCTAACATTAGGCCAGCAGGTAAGGTCCCTTCCCCTTGGGGAAAACTTTCCTTTGAGAATAACATAAAATCCGGGCGCACAGTGCATGTCTGCCCACTTTCCCACTCCCAGTATGTCACATTCCACAGGATTCCCTGAAGCGCATTATGTGAGGGGCTCAGACCTTGTCTAAGAAGTCCTGACCCAAGGTGAGATTATCCCCACCCTCAGCAACAGCCCAGGACAGAGGTGCTAGGGGCCACCCAGCCCCCGCCAGCTACATAACCACAAACCCACTTTACCTCATTTAGCTGCGATCCCACCAGTGACTTCAACGTATGGATGATCCTTTTACAGAGCCCACAGGTGATGCGCAGCCCCTCACTTTTGGTCAGCAGCTCATCCTGTCAGGAAAGGAAGCCCACATGGTGGTCTCTCAGACACTCCAAGAACCTCTGAGGGCCCAAGAAGAAGTGGTAAGGGTGGAACAAGGGCGGACAGGGTCACCTATGCTCCTTCTGTACTCAGGGGCCTGAACCGTGCTGGACGGCCCTTGTCCACCTTCCTGATACTCTAAGGAGGGTAGAGAGACGTCAGAACTTGCCCCCACACCCGTAACACCTTTTCCAATTCTGCACTTGACCCTCTTTTTCTTCTGGTCAGACCTGGCGGACCCTCCCAGAGAGCACCCAGAAATACATAACCCACCTCCCTCCACCCAGGAACACTTCCCAGGGAGGCGAGGAATGGGCTGCAGGAGGTGACCAGGAGCCAACCACACATGTACCTGGAGGTCCTCCTGCATCAGATTCTGGCAGAATGGATCTCCGTCACATGGGTCGCTTCGTGCTTGATCATAGTGCTCAGAGGAAGAAAGACCTAGGGAAGGAAGAGCATCAGCCTCACTCAACAGGTCGAAGGGGAAGAACAGTCTAGTTCTCTGGATGGCAGGGATGCAGAAGGGTGACCAGGACCCAGGACACAAGAAGGGCCTCTTGGAAGCTGTCCTCCAGGAAGCCTCTCCTCACACTCTGCTGTGGGCTGCTTCAACCTATTCTTGGCAACAAAGGCATGCTCTCCAGTTCATTCTGGAAAGCCAGAAGGAAAAGACTACCCTCTGCCACTTCTACACCTCTTCTCTGTCCCTTTCTGTTCTGTCTCTCTCACACACAAATATACACGCTCACAACAACATACACAGATTTTGGTGTTGAGCTAAAAGAAAGCTTCTCTCATCTCCCATCAAGAGATTTCCTTTTTTCTTTCCTGTCAGGGGCCCAACCCAACCTACACTCCCTTCCAGAAGTGTCCATACCCTTAGAGAGGCCCTTGTAGCTCACACTGAACCCACAGACTGAGACAGAATAGGGTATGTGAAACAGAAAGTGAGTCTTGGGCCTCCCTGGTGGCGCAGCGGTTGAGCGCTGGGTTGTGAAGCTGCCTGCAGCCTCTGCAGCGCTGGTTCGATCCCCGGCTGTTCCCTGGCCACCAGAGGAGGGTCCCACATGGCACGCAGACCCCTCCTGCCGCCCGCTGCTCCCCTCAGCAGTGTACTTCGGTCCTTCTGCCTGTTCTGCTCCCCACTCTGGCTCTGGTGAATTCTCTCACCCTCCCGCGCTTCTGACTGTACCCAGTGCTTGTATAAATAAAATAAAATAAAATAAAATAAAAAATAAAAAATAAAACTAAAAGAAAAAAAAATTAAAAAAAAAATTAAAAAAAAAAAGAAAAGAAAAGAAAGTGAGTCTTGAATGATATTCGTTCACAAGCCCTGCTGCCATAATTCTAGCCAGTATGGTCCAGAGAAAACGTCACACCCACTGATGAGGACCAATGATATTTATGACACAGACAAAGAGATACAGACCCACAGAGGAAATGGGAGTGTGGGGGCAGCTCTCAGGCCACACAGCATGACTGGCAAAGTCAGGACGAGAACTCCCTTCCTCGGCCTGTCTCTCCCCATTGACCAGTTCACTGGGGTTGAATGTGGCTCTGTGGGAAAGACCCAGCAGCCATGAGGATGGTGAAGGGCCCAGGGACCTGGAGTGCCCACCAATCCGTGCTCAGAGTTCACCGAGCCCAAGAAAATGGGTGTGGAAGGAGCAGTCAGGAAATGTCTTACCTGGAGTGTCCAGGAGCACAGAGACAAGGAGCAGGAGAGCCCAGGTGGTCATGGTGGGGCAGAGAGGTCCAGTGAATTGCCTGAGGAGACACAGCTAGGGCAGGGTACGCTGAGGGATTTACACCCAGCCCGTTTGACTCCAGAGTGAGTCCAAGTTCTCCCCTATTCCCAACTGCCTCTATTTCTAGGTTTACCCCGCAGAACTGTTTCCTTTTAATAGCCAGACACTGCTCCTCCTCCTCTCAGTGGTGTCCTCTGCTCTGGACACCTTGGTCAATTGTGTGAACCCGCACTAATGAAGAGAAAAGGGTCTCAGAGAAAATTCATGCCTTTCTTTGTTGTGGGGGACTTGATAAAACCAGATTTCCAGGAAGTCTTTATGTGGGGTATGGAGGGGTCAGGCCTCTGGGGTCCCATGTGAAGATCATGTAAAACTTAGCACAGTTCAGAACCAACTGTTCAGTTTAAATGCTCCCAACCCAGATGATCCATTCGGTGATGATGTGGCCAAGTAGTGGAAGACCAAAGCCCAAGCCACAGAAACAGCTAGAGCATGGATGAGGCTATGCACCCTGAATAATATTTAAATCCATCTGATCATCAGGTGGGCTTTGCTTCTCCTGTTTCAGCAAGACATCTTCCTTTTCTGTTTTCATTTTAATGGACACAGTCTTGGAAGCACTGCAGAATAAAAGCCCACACATCCTTAGTCCTTCGGAGATTAAATATACATTAGTAAATCTGTCTTGTCCTGATAACATTGTTCTAAAATAAAGCATGAGCAGAGGCTAGAAATATCATTGGGGTGTTTTGAAACATTTATGACAGGGGCCCCTCTGCTTTTATTCATTTCCCCCATCGTTCATTACCTTCTGTGAAGGTACTTGTCAGGTTAGCTGCAGGGTTGTGGGTGTTTTTTGTTTTATTATTTTCTGAGATGGAGGAGGAGGTAGTTTTATTTTAAATTTATGGGCTCCTTTCCCCTCTGATGGTAGCCTACCGGATCAGGTAAGAGCAGCAAGCCAGTCCTTTAGAATATGCCCCCCACTCCCTGTCTAACATGGGTATAGATGGCAAGCTTGACTGTTTGAACCAAAACAGAAACATCCAGCAAATATCCCAGCCCTGACTGATACTACTGCGACTTCACTCCCAAGTATAAAATCCTCCTTTCAAGAAAACTCTTCTGATCATTATGGATGGCCTGTCTAGAAACGTCAGTAAGTCCTATGTTTTAGTATAATATGTATTGTTATTTAAAAAAATTCATCGGACAGTTTGGTGGTTGCCAGAGGGACAGGGTGGGAGAAATGAGTGAAGAGGTGTCAAAAGGCACAAACTTTCAGTTGTAAGCTATAAGTAAGTTCTAGGGATGTAACGCAGAGCATGGTGTTTGTACTTAATAATTCGGTTTTGCATATTTGAAAGTTGATAAGGGTGCAGATCTTAAAATTTCTCATCAGAAGAAAGCAATTTGTAACTGTGTGATGATGAATGTTAACTGGACTTACTGTGGTGATCAGTTCTCAGTATAAATAAGCATCAAATTATTACAGTGTAGACCTGAAATTACTGTAAATTTTTGTCCATCATATCTCAATTTTTAAATGACTGATACCTAAAATGCAAGGTTGTTGTGAGATACTAAAAGTCGTATGTTTTTGGAGATCCAGCTATCTAGCAACACCAGAGGACACAGAACGTTTATTAGAGTCCTTTCTACATAGGCATCCAGGATCGCTGCCTCTCATTTTCGGGAATGATGATATTATTTATGGCTTTTATAACCTCTGATCAGAAGTTATGGCCTTGGCTATTAGGATACCTTGATACATGAGTGAGTCTATCCTTCAGTTTCCCATTCATTCCACTGTAGTTAAACTGTGAGCTCAAAATAAAAAGAACAAATCTCTCCCCTGGCTCATCTTGTTTTTGTGGTTTTTTTTGTTTGTTTGTTTTGGCACCTGGCTACTATTCATGCTAATTCAAATAATTGTCTTTTTATTTTTGTCTCAAAGATTTATTTTTATTTATGTATACAAGAAGCTGGGGTACAGGTGAGGCACGGGGGTGAGAGGCATGGGGGGTGAGAGGATTCTGGGTGAGAGGATTCATGGGGGGTCAGAGGCATGGGGGGGTGAGAGGATTCACCAGAGACAGTGTAGGGAACAGAACAGGCAGATTGACCAAAGGACACTGCTGAGGGGAGCAGCGGGCAAGTCAGGAGAGGTCTGCTGCGCCATGTGGGTAGCTCCCTGGCCGGCTTGGGGGGCGGGGATCGAACTCTTGCTGCAGAGGCTGTGGACCGCTTCTTGGTTACATCTTAACCTCTTGCGCCACCAGGGAGGATCAAGTCTTTACTCTTGAAGATGGTTTGACTTCAAAGCTTGTGGTCAACACTCTCAGGTGGTCAAATTTCCTCCCTTCCCTCCACTCCCCAGGTCCAAGTGGAGCCAGCTGGGTTGATAATGCAGCTCCTCAGTGTGCTCTATTAATTTTTCACTGGTTTGCTCCCAGGAGCCCCTGCCCCACCTCCCACACCCAGAGCACTGTCTCCAAGGATGCCCCTTAATGCAAGAGATTAAAAAGTCACTTCTGTCACCCACATCAGTCTATGACTGTTAATTTTTTCCTGCTGCCTTAACGATTACCACAAACACAGTGTTGTCAAACACCCATTTGTTGCCTGACAATTTGGTCAGAAGTCTGGGTGGGCTCACCTGCTTCCTCTGGCTCCCAGAAGGGCGAGATCAAGTCACTGGCTCTTGTCTAGGAAGAATCCACTTCGAGGCTTATTCAGGGTGTTGGGAGAATTCAATTCCGTGTGGTTGTAGGACTGGGGTTTCCTTTGCCTTGCTGGCTGCCATTTGGGGTCATTCTCAGCTAGGAGCAGCTCAGGCTTTCCCTGGCTCACAGCCCTTCTGCAAGTCTTTCTCATGCTCTGAATGTCTTTGAAGTGCCCCTGCCTCCTCTTCCTACCTCCCCCCACTCACACACACACACACACACACACACACACACACACACACAGAGTCACATACAGACACAGGCCGTCCACCTGTTCTTTTTTCTTTTCAGCTCGGGCCTCCACTAAGGCTGGAGGGTCCCTTCTCTGCTTTATCATCTCAGTGGTTTATTATGAAGCAAATACCCGTGTAACTGCCACCCAGGTCAAGAGCCTGCCAGTGTCCCTGAAGTCCATTCCCTCCCCCTCTCTACCTCGCCCTTAATGATAATCATAGTCTTGTTTTTCTATATAGTTTTGCCATCTGAGCACTCCAGGGTTCCATTTTTTTCTTGTTTTGATAAGTATATAAATAGGAACATATAGAATGTATTCTCTAGTGTCTGACTTCTTTGAATCAACCTCAACGATTGTGAGTATCACCAACCTTGTCGTGGCTATGAGGTGTTTGTTCCTTTCTGGAGCTAAGAACTATTTCATTGTATGAATGTTCCATAATTTACCCGTTCTCCTGTTGATACATATTAGAGTTGTTAGCAATTTTTGACCTACTGGTACACAGGAATTATCTCTCTTTTTTTCTAATTTTATTGCAATTAAAGTATACTCACCTGCATATATTAAAGTGTATAACTTTATCAGTTTTGATCTGTGTAGACACCTGTGAAACCATCACAGCAGTCAAAAAAGTAAGCATATTTATCGGCTTCTTGTCTACTTTTGGAAGTATGGATAGATGAATTAATGCATGGGTGCATGTATAGGGAAGATGGATGCATGGATTTGGTGGATGGATGGATGGATGGATGGATGGATGACTAGAAAAATCCTCATGTAGTATAGTTTCCTTTCACCATTTTGGATGCACTTCTTTGTATGCCTTCGAAAATAATGCTAGACTATTCGTGCATTAGCTCACTCAAAGGGCCAGTTCTGTGCCTGGGCAGTGGGGTGAAGCCAGAAGCTTGACTGGCTGTTGAGAAATGACTGGCATGTCCTGCATTATGTCTTGGACAGAAGTCCCTGGATGCACCACTCTGCCCATGACCATTTACTCAAGATTTCAGGCTGCAAGAGGAGCCCACCTTTCCCCAGGCTTCTGTTCTAAGAAATTAATGATTTGACACCATATTTTATACCATCTTTTGCTCTCCTTCACATTACTTCTTATAATTTTCCCACCCCAGCACCACCCTGACAAAGGTCCCCTCCTTTTAAGATGCTCCTAAATCAATGGCAACTTCCATCTCTGACTTTTATGTGAATTCTGATGTGAATCCACTGCCCTTCCAAATATTCCTCTTAAAACTCTCTCTGAGGGCCTTCCCTGATGGTGAGCAGTTGAGCGCTGGGCTGCGAAGTTGCCCGCAGCCTCTGCAGCACCGGTTTGATCCCCAGCCACCAGCTAGGGTCCCACATGGTGCACAGACCTCTCCTGCCGTGCCCACTGCTCCACTCAGCAGTGTATTTCATCAGTCTGCCTGTTCTGTTCCCCACTCTGGTTCTTGTGAATTCCATCACCCTCCTGTGCTTCTGACTGTACACACTGCTTGTATAAATAAATAAATAAATCTTTAAATAAATAAATAAATAAATAAATAAAACCCTCTCTGAGCCCTCTATCTCCCTTGCCTCACCCATCACCTTCATCCCACAATGACCTAAATGATTCTGGCTTCCCTGTGACTTTACCTGGACATTGTCTACTGTCGTTGGGTGTCCCGGTACCTGACCCTTGTCACATCCACTGCCCTGCTACCTCATATCACAGGATTGGAAACACTGCTGCTACCCTTCTGGAACTTTATTTCCCAGCTGGTCACTCCATGTTTGGGGACACCCGCTTCTCCCTTAGTACTGATGATTCACACCAGCGTGCCTCACCACAAAATCCAGACAGGACAAAGTCTATAGTATATTTCTTTTGTTTCATTGCTTTCAGTTCCATTTTTTTAAGTACAAAAATTGAGTAATGATCACACATAAATCAAATAAAAAATCACCATGACTGACAAGTTCGTACACTTCTTGCCAGTCTTTATCAACATTAGATTTTTCATTATTGACCCACGCTTCCCTGGGCATACCAGTCTGTGCAGAGTTTGGGGGAGTGACATGTATCCATATTCTGCCCATGTGGGCCATGACTGGACTTCATAACTTTAGAAATTACTCTCCAACAAT